AATAAATTCATTGAAATCTCAAAATCTCATGAAGATATGTTAGTCAAAAAAACTCATGTTCAAAACAATTTAGAGAAGAGGTTATGTATAACAACAACTGATCTTTCCCAACTACTTAATCATGTTCTTAAACTTGATCGTCTTAGACGAATTCTTGATATAATACCAACTATTAAAAATTATCTACGTTTACATCCAATCAATACATTCAATGCAGTTAAAGCATTGAAACTTGAATGTAAATATTCATGAATATGTTATATTTATTTACGAATGTATATATTCTATTTATAGTTGATTTTAATCATTATGATATGAAATTTTTAGGTGATTTAAAATTATTAAGTGATACATGGTATAAACGATATTTGTTATCACGAACCAGTGAAACGGATGCGAATATTTCAGAACTAATTAATGATGATGATCAAGAACAAGAAGATCGACGTGAATTTAAATTTCGTTCAAGTTTAGATGAAGATTTTGATTTTAATGAATTTATGAAAAATGAAGAATCACAATTAAATATCAATGAACAACGTAAACAAATTTATCTGTAAGATTAAAAATTGTTTTTCGATAAATTTTCTTTGCTTAAAAAAATTATTCTAGAGAACAAATTAAAAAACGAAAAGATCAAATCGATCTATATAAATCAAAAACATCTATTGATGATGATAATCTTCAATTAATACTTAATCTAGATGATTTTCATAAACAAGATGAGAGAAAAGATCAACTACGTGTTATTGAACAAGTCTTTCCTGATGCTTCAACACTCGAATCTCAACTTTTACTTCCTTTTATTTCCGATGATCAAAAACGATTATTTATGCAACTGGATTTTGCTAAAGAAGAAAATATTGAAGATTATCATAGATTATATCATTCAGAAGACAAAGTAGATTCGAAGAAGATACTAAATGATACAATAAACAAAGAACTTGAACAACCCATATTACCTTTAGATGAGAAATCAATTTCTAAAGAATCAGAAAAAGATATAGAAATTGAACAACAAAAAATTTATATTGACAATCAATCATCAATAGATTTTGAGAGTAAACAATCTGTACAAAAACAATTGAAGGACACACAACAAATTAGTATACAACCATTATTAGAAATTAGAAAATCATCTGACTTATTGAATAATATACCAGAAGATGAAGAAGATAAAACAAAATTAGAGTCCGTAACCATTAAAAAAGATATTCTTGTTGAAAAAGAAGAAGAACATCAGCATATGACAGATGAATTTCTCGCACAACCTTCTATTTCATTTGCTGATGAAAAAGTTCCATTATCAATTGAAGATTTACACTCACAATCAACATCAACTATATTATCGAATGCTACTAAAGATCTTAGTACTTCTCTAAACGAATTGTATGTATATTTTTTTTCTTAAATAATATAATCATTATTCTTTTAAATACAGGGTTCAACAAATGACAAATGATGAACAAATATCATTAAAAAGAAATCTTAAACTCAGTAAAAATCCTTTCTTTCTTTCTTTTGCTCTACTTTCTTCTTTATTTTAGTTCGTGACAATATCGAACATTGGCTTCAAACTACTTTACAATACAATACATTAATGAATCCAATCGATAATCCACATCGATCTATAGATGAAAATGAATTTCATACAAATCAATTGATCACCTATTTTCATAATGAATTCGATCAATTTTCTAAACATATTTCTTCAAATTCTTTAAATTTTTCAAAACTAAAAACTATTTTTCAACAACGAATAAATCATATAGAAAATATTCTAAAAGAAATAAAAAATCATCAAGATATAATTCAGCAAGTTGATAAACAAACCATTGAAATCGATCAAATGATTAATGAGACAAAATCAAAATTTGAAATCGAAAATTTAAATAATAAATTTAATAAATATAAAGAAGATTTTATTGAATTGAAACAACAAGAAGATTTTCAAATTCAACCTATATTACGAACACAACTTGAATTAGCTATTCGTACAATTGATACTGATTTATACCTAATAGAACAAATACTCGAACAAAAAACTGTAACCGATATTATTCCAATAACATCATTGATTACAACAAACATAGTGCAACAACTTATTCCATTGAAAACTTATGAAAATATTACAAACATCCGAGATAATTTATCAAAAATAGCATCAGATATTAAAGCATACGAAACAACACTTGAGAAAGAACGAGTAGTACACGATTTACTAGGAATAGATATGGTAAACTATTGAATTTATATATTCTTTCCTGTATAATGATGATATTTTAGATTGAACGTCTTCAAGTCATTAAACAGGAATATTTAGAACAGAAAATGAATGAAGAAAAAATTCATGATATAAAGATTAATATCGACAAAGCTCTTGAACTTGATCAAGAACAAATAGAATTTATGGATCAGTTTAAAGAAATTCATCAACAGTTAGATATACAATCGAATAAAATTCAAGAAAACTTATTTAACATCCATACTGCTCGTGATAATTCAAACCATCCAAATTTTTCATTAGATATTAAATTGAAATATTTGCCAATTGATACTTGTGGAATTTTAATGAAACAATCATTATATCTTGTTGATGAGCAAAACATGCCTCTTTCAGATAAACTTCATCTCATTCGATTACCAAATGAATTTGATCGATTTCAAATATCCAATGATAATTACGAATTAATTATTATTGATAATAATAATATACCATTATCCGATCCTATTACTTTTAAAAAATTAACATCTGAATTAATTCAATTTGAATATATTAATAATGATCAACGAACTATTCAAATATCATCACATGATTCAATAGATAGATCCATTATGCTTAATGTAAAACTACTGTCTTTTGATCAATCTCCAACAAGTAAATTGCATTAGAAACACATATTAACTAAGATTACGTCCAATGTCGGATTGAGGGGAAAAGTGTTTTCAATTTCTTACTGAATCGATGACACATTCATATTCTAAGTGATCTATTTTGATGAGTCGATAATTTTCTAAATTATACAAGCAATACCTGATCAATTAAGCTCGTATCGGTAAAGTTATAGACCGTTTTATACACAAGACTAGATTCTATGGAAAATTACTCATAACTCTCCGACTTTGAAATTAACTTTCCCAGCACTGATCTCAACGTAGTTTACCAACAAAAATTAGAATATGAAGTCGATCTTAAGACTAATCTAAGTTTTAAGTTAAATTTTTTCCTCAATTCGACATTGGACGTAATCCCTGTTTGGACGCTAGCATATATATATATGTTTCTAGGTTATGCCTTATTTGTTGTTGATAAAAATGATTATCCACTTTCAAAACCAATTCAACTAACTGAGCCCACTGATTCGCTATTGAATATTTCTGAACTTAAACTTTCTACGTTTTTATACGATGAAAAAATGAATGAAAAAGTACTTTTAACGCCTGAACAATATTTAATCAGTATACAACAATCTGAATTTACATCAAGAAGATTCCTTACATATATTGCTTCGAAAAATAATCAACTCTTATCTGAGCCTATTGATATCTCAGATATTGCAATTCAAAAAAAACATGCAATTGAAAATATACTCTCGAAAAAATTGATTATATTTGATAAAGAACGTCATAAATTATTTGATCATTTGAATTTCAATGAAACTAAAAATGAATTTTTAAAAATTATACTCAATGAATATGACCTCATGAATGGTTATGTACAAGATCGACTTGATAAATTAAAAATTGAAGAAAAAATCATTGAACAAATTGTACCTATTCTAGGTTAAATATCTCATTGGATATATGTATTAATTTCTTTCTTTTCATAGACGAACAATATAATAATATTTCAATAGATCAAATAGAATATAAACAAGAACAATCGAATATGGATAATCTTGTTAATACAATGAAATCAATTGTACAATTAGATGAAAAATTAACTGAATTACGAAAGACGAAAACTTTTGAAATATCAGATATTGAGAAACTTGAAAGTAATCTTATTCATCAATTAATTCAAGTTTCAAATCAACTTGATGATTTATCAATTATTAAACAAGTTGAAAATTTAACTAATCATTTTCAAGATACTCAACTTCTTACCGAACTTCGACCTATTATTCTCTCTGGTAATTATGTATTTTCTATAATATAAATTTATATTATCATTTATTATTAATTAGGTATTAAAAATCGTGCTAAAACAATTCAGAAAAAATGTGAAACATTATTAATAAATATACATAAAAAATCTAATCAATTAAAACAACCAGAACAAATTCGATTTGAATATATTCAATATTTAACTAAACAATTGAATGAACAAATAGAATACGAAAATGATGTTGAACATTTCCAAAACAAAGTCGAACGAATGCAATACGAATTTTATCAAAAAATTGGTAGGATCTATTCCAACATAAATTAAATTCAATCATTCTATACACAAAATAAAAGGAGAGTTCTTATAACTGAATATGAACATAGTTAATGAGATAATCGACAAACTAAATAATAAGACACATTTAGAGAGCTGGGGATCCACGTTTTTTGGACCTGATCCAGACCCAGACCCCAATCGGATCTGGGTCGACTCGCAGCTCCCTAAACACATTAAGAAAAAAAATCATCTTCATATATATAAGACTTATTGGCTCTTCGCAAATCGGACATTCATCATCGACGAAATTTTAGGTTTCACTTAGCGTAAGTACAGTGGATTCTAGCCAACTGTAATAACATAATGATACTGGCGAATTTCCTATAAGTATGTTGGCGAAAGTGCACTGGAACCGATTTTTTGAAATCGGAATCGAACCAAAACCGCTCTTTTCTCATTTCTGCTGACCGGAGCCGGACCGAAACCGCGGCTTCGGTTCCGGGTAATTTTTGGAACCCCTATACTCTAGTTTGTTGACGAAATTCGAGAATTTCATATATATATTTGTGTAATTCGATACTGAAAAATATACTTTATCAGTTTTATTTTCTTTTAATAGCTGATTCATTAGAAACAATAGACCTTGAAGATCTTGATAATGAAATAAAACATAAATACAACATAAAACAAATTCAAATTCCGGATTATCTTGAAAGTAGAAATGAAAAGTTAATTTATAAATTTAATCTTATTCTTCGATATCTTCATGATAAATTTAAAATGATTGAACAATATAAAAATGATTTATTAAATGAAATGAAACGATTTCTTATTGAATCAATTGATAATGAATATTCCTATGTTCAACAAATATATTTTATCGAAAATGAAATTAAAATAAATAATAATAATAAATTATTAAAATATATTGAAAAATATAAAACTATATTAAATAAATTAGAAACAATCGATAATAAAAATTTACAATATGATTTTCTCTTATCAAAACTTGATCGTTTATATGAAATCATAACGAACAATTATCAAATTAAACTTCCTAATAATAATACAAATATTGAATCTATACGTAGTACATTAAATAATATAAGAAAAACGATTAAGAAAGAATTACAAATGTTCGATATAACCAGAAATGATTTATTACGAAAACTGAATGTACTTAACAAAAAAGAAGAATTGAAACAACGTACAAAAATAACTATTAACCAAGAAGTAAATATCATAATCATAGATACAAGCGATTCGTCTGGTCTTTCTCTATTCTAGGAATCTCAATTGAGTTCACTCAATGCATACATTCAACAATCAATAAATGAATCAATGAATATTCATCATGAATTTTATGCAATAAAAATTCAACAAATTACTAATGATTTGATGTCTATGTTTCATATACAATCTTTACCTCAAATGAATTTAGTTAATAAAACATTGGAACATTTAGAAAGTTATATTGAAAATTTGAATAAACTAATGAATGATAATGAAATTAAATTAAAATATGTTGCGGAAGATCTACTTGCTACACGAAAATATTCAATGATTGACAGTCTTGTTCGAGAAGAATTTGAAGATTTAATAATGCAACAAAATAAATTAATACATTATCAACAATCGATTATTAAAATGCGAGCAATAGCAACTGAAGCATTCAATCATTTTCAATCATTAGATATTTCTAATTCGGAAAAAACGAATAGTCAACAAAAATTTAAAGATTTTAAACAAAGAGGTTTGTATATTTATATCTTTATTTTCTTTAATGAACTCTACTATTTAGCTATGGAAACAATTATTCAATCTATCGAATATGAGAATTCATCTAAATGTGTATCACCTCATCTATTATTATTACATAAATTTACTTCTGGACAAGAATTAATACCTGCGATAACATCATCTTCGACTAATCTGCTTCAATTAGAAACAAAAGCACATGTTGATCAAGAATTATCATTTCAAATTTTTCTTCTTCAAAGTCAATCATCGGCTAGTTTTCAAAAAGATTCTATCGAACAATATGCTTCATTAGATTTAAAAACTCAAATATTACATATAGAAATTATGTACCTTCAGAAACAACATGCTGAAGCTATTGCTGTTGGTGATTTTAGTCAACAATTAGCAGCTGAACAAATTATTTCTACTAAACTGCAACTGATTAAACAATCTCAAATAGAAATTCAAGATAATTCATCAATGACTAATCGACAATCAGTTAAATATAATAAATCGAAAACTTCAATAATATCAACAAGTATTAGTCGTAAATCTCTTCCAACAAATGAAACTGATGAACAAATAAGTAAACTTTTAAAAAATCATATTAAAAATTTACAAACGCGCATTGACAATGATGAGTCAAAACTTTCTTCTATTGAAGATTTTCGTCAATTAAGTATGTTTTCTTCCGACAAAAAAATATAATTTATCTTTGAATTTAGATAAAAATTTGAAAAAATCTCGTCAAGAAAATAATCGTGAAAAACAAATTGATATACAATTACAAATTCTAAATAAAATTAATGAATCAATCAATCCAGAAATCTTACAAAATCTTCGTCAACATCTTCACGAAGAACAATCGTATCATAAATCTCATGTTTTACAATTACCATATTCCGCTGTAGTAGAACAAAGACAAAGTACAAGTATTTCAGAACCAACAAAACAACTTGTTACTGGTGAATTAATACCACAGATTGATTCAATAGAACGAATAAAAACGTCGTTTGTAACGACTGATTCGAAAGAATTATATCAAACATTACAGAAAATGAAATATTCTATCGAAATAGCTTTGGAAGGTACGCAACAAACATCGAATATTGAAGATAGAAAATATCCATTAGTAAGTTTAAGACTTCATAAATAATTTAAATATTATTTAATATTTACAGTCAGTACCAAAACCAGTAAGAAGTGGCATATCAATCGAACATGATGAAGAACATGCCAGAACAGATGATATCCATATTATTCGTATTCCGACTCAAAGTCAATTGCAATTGGATTCTACTGAAGGAACATACAGTTCATTAGTTTCTACAAATAATATTCTTGATTCAACAATTATCTCTCCTTTGGAAGACATTGATATCATTACATCCGATCATAAAAAATTGTTAGTAGTAGGAAATGCTAAAAAATATTCAATTCTACATAAAAAAGCTAATGATCGACAAATGGCTACTACAACGCAACGGTCTATTATTCAAACACAACGAGAATACGGTGAAGTTTATACTCGAAATCGAGTAGATTTTTTTCAATAATTTTTTTCCTATTAAA